CGTAGGGGACATGCATAGCAAAACTGGTCATTGGATACTTCTCAGCGCAAGATCATCAGCGCATGACCAGTTTGTCCTGAGGAAGGCTCTTGAGTGAAGCTGAAAATTTGACGGTAAAAAAGCATTGTCTGTGATACTATTAATTCAAAAATTCATGTACATGTATATACACTGTATACCAGATTAATGAACTTTTTAAATAATGTTTTACTTATTCGTTTTTATGGCAACCCCTGACAACGACTGTTAGTGGGAGTGTAACGGGCCGAGGTTAGTGCGTCTAAACATGCGAAATCAAGATGAAAGTAATACATTACCACAACAAAAAGTATCGCCCATGCTAGTCCTCTTTTACTGCAACCTTGCCTTGGATGGACAGAACGCATTAGTCTGCGATCCCCCTGGTCTTTTTTAATCAAAAGACAGTACAATGCTAGCGAATGTACGGTTGCTTTCGACGGGGCGCGTTTGATACCATTGCATACCATGAGTCTTGATTCACAATAAAACCGGACTACACTTTTTGAGTTTAAGTTGAACAAAGCTACATCAGGAGAAGTCCAATTTTACGGATCATGATACCTGTTCTATAATAGAAAATACATGAATAATGTTTCGGACCAATGCCTTATTTATTTCAGTGAACTGCCACGAATGTATCTTGGACTGAAATAGACCAAGTTATTTTGTTAAAAAGCAAAGGCACATTTCCTGGCTGTGATCTGTTATGGCTCTTTTGTTGAAAATATCCCAGGTGTGATGACAGCATTTATCCTGAGAGTGTTCGAGTGAAGTCAAATGAGGGCACCTGTGACAAAAGGTAGGACTCTCATGTTCGATAGCAGCTCCAAGGCAAGTCGGACTTTTTGTTGTTCCTGGACCTTTCTCAATTCATCACCTTTATGTTCATGCGTTGGCGATTAAAATAGGTATTCGCCCAAGATTCATGCCATATCTATTGCACTTGTGGAGAAATACAAAGCAATGTAAGCCGCATCTTAAGAGACGGCTCGATTATTTTTGTCAAAAACCTTCTTCCATTCACCCCTTTCTGTTCATGTGTGCACTAACAAAGCAGTTTTTCGCCCAAGATTCATCCCATAGTTATTGCACTTGTCAAGAAGTATAAAGTAATACTCGCTGCATCTTAAGAGACGGTTCCATTTTTCAGTTTTTTTCTCAAAGTTATAAAACCACTAGTTTAAACTTAAAGCAGTATTGGGGGCATGACGAGGCATCTTTGTTATAAGTACGTCCCGGTGCCTACTTGAAAAGAGCAGAAAAATCACGAAATGTCAGGGAGGTGGGATTCTTGAGATGTTTACTATAAAAAAGCGTTAGGTGCAACATGAATAATAACAACAGAGAAAGTGTAATTTGCAGAAAAATATAGAGAGGCTTGGTACCTACAGCGTATTACATAGCTTATTCATTTTCACGTTTAAATCAATAAGCAAATAAAAAAATTAATGAATGATTGAATTACACAATTACACACCAGAAAGGGTTTGCTCACGTGATTATTTATTTATAATATAAATCATATCGTACATTCTTAGGGCGCATTCCCATAGATTTTAGATCGATCTATCCCGTGGGGAGTCTCACTAGTTATCTGTCAGATAATCCGGCTTAAATGTCCGTCCTGCCTACTTCAAGCTGTAAGGGGGTAATTAACTTCTGTGCGCGGTCGGCTGACTGCAATTTAGTGTGAACCCCCAGGGAGTTAGGTCGATCTAGTAAGATCGATCTAAATCTCTGGGAATGCCCTCTTATTCACTACTAAGTAGAGGTTTCTTACGAAAGGTCTACTAGTTTATGTTTTGTATCCAAGAGAACAAATTTCAAAACAAAGCAACTCATATGTACTTCCATTTTCAATTATCCCCTTTGAAGTCCAGTATATTCAGTGCACTTTCGTTCATAAGCTTTAACCTGTTTCATTTAAAATGGAAAATCAAGTTCTTCTAGAGCTGTGTGTTTTTCTGAGTGTTAGCCACGACAAAACCTGATATTACGATGGAGAAATACATGTTCATTAGCACTACAAAGAGTATCGTCCATCAATCATGATTCGTTTAGAGCTACCTTATAATATCAGAAATGCTACTTAACATTGCATCCAAGCATAGGAAGCGGTCGAGGAAGGGGGCTCGCCATTAGGAAAAAAGATCTTACTTCCTTAAGGAAAATTACATCGGCGCAAAAATCCGGTTTAAGACAAATTTGAGTAACAAATCCACCGATCACCGTATGAAACTACTACTAGATCTGAAGACATGGCTGTCAGTTTACATGATTAATGTGCATTCCATTGGCATTCATACACCATATACACGGTGCGTTACGGAGCACTGTGCAATGAACTGTAACCCCACTTTTGCTTGTTTTTCCATGTCGCACTCGAAGCCCCCTCTCCAAGGCCGCTTTCAGTACAACGCACTCACTAGTCCGCGGTTCAAATATGGCCACCCACTTAGAAGCGTTCCATCTAATCCTAACAGTCACGGAATAATTTCTCCGTAAGGTATTACGCAACAAGCATTCAGGTGGGTCGGGCGCACTAGTTCGTCCTGCTGTTGTGAATGCGGCCCAACATAGCGCCGAAACCGGCCCCCAGCGTGGCAGTCGAGATTGAATATTTTTGCACTAGGAGTTTTGGGTACTCAGCACTTGTCATCGGTAATTATTAGAATAAGGTGCACAAAACGTCGATTTGGTACAACAAATGATCGATGACTGTATGGCGACATGATAACTTTGTACGACAATTGTATTCAAGGTACAGGACGGACTATTTATATATAGCACGTGCCTTGAGGTACATGTATATATATTGATCTGAATTCAGTCCACAGTGAAAAGAAGAATCAGGCAGAGAAAGGGTCAGAGAAAACCAGCATCGCATGGTATTTTCCCCAGGTTTACTTCACTGATAACAGTGGTCTGCGTCTATCCAGCAGGGTGCATGCCTTGTTACAGCTTATTTGTAACCTTTTAACGATTAAATACATGTGTCACTATTTAATTTTATCATCAAGGCGAGTCCTTAACAGATTTGGAATGCTGCCACCATTTAGATCAACTTCAAAATCTAAGCCCAATTTTCTCTTTATTGAGTTCAGGAAGGGGTCTGTCTCGTGGTAATCCTGGTAGTTTTGCAGTATTTCATCTCCAGCTGTGATGTTCTTAATTGCTACGAGTGCAGCAGCTGAGACATGATGTTGGAACCGCATTGCGTCACTGGGACACGCGACGTTTGCATCCTCTTTGCCATGATTAATGTAATTAAAAGCGTCAAAGCTGATAACAAAACACTGCATTTTCTTCGTGTCCTTGCCAGAGCCATCTACTACGTCACACTCGGAGAGATATGCTGTTGACAGCAATTGCAATAAAATGTCGGAGGCTAGAGTTTTCCTCACTGAGAAAGCAAGGGAATAGAGAAATTTCTTCGCTTTGTCGTCATACGGCATCATCCAACAAGATTCCCAATCGTCCTCAGCCAATATGGCGTCACATTTGATATCCCATAATAACGTTCCAGCGGAAATATTCTCTTTTGCAAAAACTCCTTTCCCTGCCCCAGGTATGCGGCTCACTTTGATGTCGGCTGAGATGAATAATTTACACCTGCATCTTATGAAGTCGGTAACATCTCGCTCCAAATCCCAAGACCACAAATACAGCGAAGTACCTCCAATCTAAAAAAAAGAAAAAAAAAAAAGAGTAGGCCACATGAAAAAAGGTTCTATTCGCGTTTATCAAATTCAATTCATATCATATTTAAAAACTTATTCCACAAATGAAAGACAGAACCAACGTAAAGTTTCCTAATCTTCGTCAAGAACGTTTTTATCTCAGTCTTATCCATGATCATTACAGGATATGCCTTAAATAAAAAGTAAACTGTATATTGGTCTCTACCGGTAACTAACTTTAGATTCTTACCCGTTATTCTGTTGTATACAAATAGCAGTTAGTATATTTAACTTTTTGCTGTGTTAGAAAAGCTCAATATTTGACTAGACTTCTTGGTGATTCTTGACCCCTCTTTTCAAATCATACAACTGTATACCAATATAATAATAGTTATTTAACAACCCCTGAACAAAAGAAGTGGATGGGGGTTATTTTATGCACTAATGTTACAAAACTATCAAACAGTAGATATTTTTTTCTCCCCCATCCCCATAAAATATCTTCTTAAAAATGCCAAAGGCTTGACAATTTGACCTCCTGTAAACGTCGCTACCATTTTACTTAACATGATGCAATGATAGGCCTGCCCCTGTTCTTGTAAATATAGATTGTCTTTCTTTCACTTGTTTTTCTTACACTGTCGACTGCAAAACAATACAGGGTATTAGTAGGCCTATATCCAGAAGCGGCATATCAAAAGCCCCACCTTTTGTAATTATGTGTAACGTCATTCTAACTAAGTTTACTTATTTTCATTCATCAGTTCCCAACCTACGTTCAATAGGGTGACTCCCGTTTTCGCCCACGTCCACACACATAATTATAAAACTTAGCAAATAATTTTATTCCATAAGTCTTGGTTATAAATCATTGTGAAAGCCTGTACTATGTATTGTAAACTTTCCCTAGTGAAAATATTACAGTCAGTGACCCCAGAGGCAAACATCACTGGAACCAAGTCGCTTTTGCTAACGAGTCAACGTCTTTCTTGTGCCCCATCGATGTTCAAATTAGAGACCTTAAACATGCTCCAGAATGTCTCTAGGGAGAGTATGTGCAGGATAATACCAACTGGACTGCCGCGACAGTCTAAAAATAAAAAAACATAAAAACATTTATCATTATATAAGAGCAATCATTTTGTTAAAAACGTGATTTTTAAGGCTGCTGTAGGCCATTCTGTATTTAGCAAATGGCACCAGATCTTATCAATATATTTCTAGTGCAGAAATAACCTTAAATACTTGTAGTGTTGTGACTAACATTATAGTTCAAATATATGGAAATTATTACTTGTTAATAGGCATTGGCGGACATTTTAGAAAAATAATCGTCATTGTCAAAAATGTACTAACTTTATACACGGGGAAGTCTATTTGAATGAGGTGCTCACCGTTTGGACTCAGTCAACCACATCGCCTGGTTGGTTTGTGTGGTCCGAGCATATTTGTCACCATTAGGTTATTGGTGCTGGCAAAGTCCAAGAGTCTCTGTGTTGTGAAACGGTCCACATGTGTCTTTCCAGACCTTGTAGGATTCTGGACGGTTATTTTCTGCAGCTGTTCGAAGTAGGCCTATTCTACATTATCGTAATCGTATTCTGTGGTAGGAGGGTTAGCCGGTATGAGGTTGAATGTGCTTGCTCTTAATTTCATGGAATTCAGACACACGGCCGTCGCCAGGGTCACCAAGGTCCGCGCCTTCCGCTTCCCATCGGATGGAGGTGAGAAGTCTGCGACTGATGCCGTCATGCCCCTATTTCATACAGACCACGAATCCCACGAATCGCCAGGAATTGACAAATTTCAGGTTTCGTGGTTGAATCGTAATCAGTTCGTGAAGTTCTTAACAGATTCGTATATATTCGCAGTCAGTTTTTGCACTTCTTGACCAACAGGAATTAGTGGCAAAAACTTTGAGCTGTTCAAAATTTTGGCCACGAACTCCCGATTCTAAAAAAAATTAGTGAATTTCTGGACAATATTCGTGCGATTCCAGCCGAATCCCACGAATATTCGTAACTCTATCGCTCCTGTATCGTAACTGAATCGTAGAGCGTGTCGAATTAGACCAGAAAATTGGCAAAATCTCACGAATCCTGAAATTTGTCAATTCCTGGCGATTCGTGGGATTCGTGGTCTGTGTGAAATAGGGGCATTAGCAGAAAAAATCAACGCCAGGAATAACATCACCATCGGCACATGGAATGTGAGGACACCAAAAGCGCTAGGTAAGCCAGAAGAGCTTGCTCAAGGAATGAGCAGGAATCAGTTGGAATATTCTCGGTCTGTGTGAAATACGAGAGGAAACTTTTGGAGAAACAAATAATGAAATACCCTTCGATCACACGCTGTGATATCAGATTTGACTGCAATTAGCATATCTGCATATAACCTATCATTTCAGCAACTGGGGGCGTTACATGTATAAGACATTTGCGTGAGATAATTGAGTATGTACTGAATCACTATCACTACTGGTTTTAAGCTACAAATGAGTTTGTTCGGATCAGAATTCACCACAATGCACCGCGCACACCGGTTGACCCTACAACCGTGAAATTGTCTTAAAATCGTGATAGCAGAAATACATTACCACGACAAGGAGGGCCGTCCATGAAAGTCTTCTCATACCAAAACCTTGCCTGAGATCAACAGGAGACATATGACTCTCTTTTATTCTTCTTGGTGGAGTGTAGATTAGTTATGTGTCGACATGCGGGTCTAATATATATTTCACCAATATAACAGTATGTTTAATACACGTGTTTGAAAGACCCCTTCTATTGGTATTAATTATTCAGCGCATGGATGAATGATTCATCCGATTCAAATGGAGTGATTTCGAGAAACTTCCTGTTTCATGTTCATACGTCTTCTGCCATCTGCTAAATTCTGCTTATTCATTTTAACACTGTCTAGTAATTACCCGTATGAGCCATGTGTTTGGGTGCATTCCCAGAGATTCAGATCGATCCAGAGATTAAGATTTAGATCGACCTAACTCCCTGGGGGTTCACGCTAAATTGCAGTCAGCCGAGCGCGCACCATAGTTAATTACCCCCTTACAGCTTTTAGTAGGCGGGACAGACGCTTAAGCCGGCTAAGCTGACAGTAATCTAGTGAGACTCCCCACAGGAATAGATCGATCTAAAATCTATGGAAATGGGTCATAGACCCTAAAGGTGGAATTTGTATTGATGGCGCTTTTGAAAGTGTGACTTATGTCTGTAGATCTGGTTTAACTTACAAATGACGTTAAACTCAAGTGTGCATTTCAAAAAGGTTGCGACTGGGTATCATTGAAACATGTTTTCATAGGTGAAAAAAAGGTGTGCAATAAATGGATGACGAATTTTTTTGTGTTTTAATATATTTCAGACATTATTTTTCTCTACAGTTAAATTCACTTCTCTGGCTATTTGTCATATAACCCGTCAACCGTTTTTACCAAAATAACTTAACTTTTGGGGATTTTTTACACGTATTTCTAAAACACAACATTTGGTACAAAAAAGGAGTCATTGCACCAATTGGCACGACATATACGTAGCATGTATGTGTACTTTGGACACTTTTCACTCAGTCACTCTCCATTGGTTATGACTGGAGGGCCTAGAGTGTGAAACATGTCATAGAGCTTTGGTACAGTGCTGCTGGGGTGGGTGCACTTGTCATGATCTGTCAGTTTTCTTAGTGGTTTGCATATTAGTAACTGTGTCTACCGATTGCCGAGACCATGTCACGACCTACTGACATGGTAATACGACACCAGATTGTTGCATATGCAGAGGGATGTACAGAGACAATTTTAGATTGCAACATGACAGTGCAACTCCCCATACAGCACGCTTATTTACCCACTGATGTCACAGCCAGTAAGTAGCCCAGATGCAAACCCAAACTGAGTACATGTTGGACGTACTTGATTGTACTACTCAAAGGAGAAACCCCCCTGCAATTCTAGATCAACTGCAAGATGTCCTTCAAGTTAAATGGACCAGAATTCCTCTCAAAAGAGCTGTAACTCTAGTTTACAGTATACCACGCCGTCTGGCGGACATAATCCAAGCTCGCGGTGGGCATACCCGCGCCTGATATTACTAATGAAGTCTGTAGATGTTTTATGACAATTTTTCCAAATTTCATATTAATTGTCAATCACAGTACAAATTTTTGTTAATTTTTTAACTCGTTACTTTTATGTGAAAAAATACTCATTTTGAGGAACACGAAGAAAAAAAACTATATAAATTAACGATTTTCGTAAATTTGCATTGTTTATTTCTCTTTGACTTATCCTCCAGCTCAACATATCTCAAGTGGATCATTTAAAAGTGCACTCAATGACCTTAAAAGCAAAGCAATGAAAGCCAACTTCATGATTAAACAAACATTATCCTCCACAGAAAAAAGTCTTATTCACCTTAAACTGAAACTGTTCGATACATTAATCAAACCCATCCTTCTATATGGCTGCGAAATTTGGGGACCTGCTCTCATTGTTAAAAATATTAACTCTATCAAATCTATGAACACATTCCCTTTTGAACATGTTCACAACAAATTCTGCAAATCACTACTGGGAATTCAACATAACAGCAGTAACATAGCAGCCAAAGCAGAACTTGGCAGACTTCCACTTACATAAAGTGTACTAAAACGATTTACAGAGGTCCCAGATAGACAACTTTTAAAAAAGGTATATCAAAGTGAAACCCTAGAAGTAAAATCAAAGGGAAACTGGAGACAGAATATAGACACAATCTGCCAAACTTTTTTTCCTCCTAAACAGGAACAGCCTCCAGATAGATAAAAATGAAATGAGCAAAGCTTTCGGCGACCACTACAAAATGCTATTTTTTAAAGAACTAGACAGAGAAAATGGACTACTGAGAACATAAACTATACAAAACAACTTATGAAGCTGAACAATATTTAAATGCCCTCCTAACAAAACTGGAACTCCAAAACTTTGCAAAATTTAGAACCGGTGCCCACGATCTAGAAATACAGAGAGGCAGATTTCAAAAACCCACTCCTCTACCGCCTGAAAAGAGAATATGTAGACTTTGCAGACAAGGAGTAAAGAATGAAATTCACTTCCTGTTGATACATGTATGTCCCCAATATGAAAAACAAAATAAGAATCTTGACCAACAATTAGTCCGAAACACTAACAATACTGAACAATTCAAATCACTAATGCAAAACAGAAATCATAATACAATACAAAATCTAGCGAGATACATAACAATATGTAACCAAGAAAGATCCAGTATTCTCTACCAGCCACCACCTACTAAACGAGAGAAATATGTATGATTTTTTTAAAGGTCAGTTATATATGTGAAAACACAATGTATCAATATATATGTATAATTTTCACCTCTGATAATGGGTGTATAACAGCACTTACTAGTACATTTAAGAATACACACTAAGTATTAATATATGGTTAGTGTGTATGTAATTGTTTGGTCATAGCCTTTGTAAATTGTGCTAGAACTAATAAAGATTATTATTATTATATTTAGCAATATACAGGGTATACTTGAATGTACAGTGCCGCCGGAATATCCCCTTACCAAATGGCCGTATGGTTTCCCAACCCTGCCCCATATGGTCGAACAATAGAGGCCGTATGATAATTACAGGGTAGGGGAATCCCCAAGCAATCCTTATCGGACACCCAAATTAGTCGGTTAAACGAACACGGTCTGCCCCTTCTTATTTGCCTCACTTAAGGTTTCTATTATAGCTGATGCAAAGAGATTGCTATCGACACGAGCAAACAATACCGGGTTATGTATCAACTGCAACAGAAGACTCGAGTAAAGGCAAGTCAAATATTAGAACAAAACTCTGAAGAACAAATTAGGCTTAGTTTTAAAACACGTATAACAATTTTATTTGATGATAATAAGTCACGATCAACAAAAGCGTAGTTAAAATGGAAAATTTTAAATAGCTAATACATCAAATAAATATCAATGTCTCATTACCTTTATTACATGTGTTGCTA